CATGCAATGTTCATTTTTGTTCAAATTATTTGACATTTTAGAGACAATTCATTTATAGAAATGGTTTAATTATTTCTATCAAATAGAACTTTGAACCTATTTAGCAACTCAAAACACATTATGACTCAATGAAGCATAGAATAACATTTATTCCACGTTTTTGAATCTTCGATGCTTAGTCAGTACTAACATTGAATGGTGTTTTGATGATGGCAAGAATGAATAACATTTATTTAATTCTAGCCAATAACAAGGTAAGGTGAAATATAGGTTCTACTTGTAAAGTTGCAACTTTTGCTTCCAGACTTGTAGATTCTACTTGTGAAGTAGCAACATTTGCTTCTAAACTTGTAGATTCTACTTGTGAAGTAGCAACATTTGCTTCTAAACTTGTAGATTTATTTCTCTTTTAGCCATAACTTCTTCCTTTAGTTCAACCACATTGTGCAATGAGTGATCTAAACAAGACATCATATGTCCAAGAAGTAGCAATATGCTAAATCAATTTCTATAATACACTTCTTAAATTTGGAACATTTCCATTCTTTTACCTTCCAACTATATGAGGTAGTTTCTAATCAATTGTAATTGGTCCATTTAATTTGAAACATTTGTTGTTCATAACAACTTTTAGCATGTAAGTAGTTCTAGGTTTGAGAAGTAGCAACTTGTTTGCATTTCTTGGCCTATAACTTCTTAATGCAATCCTCATATATTCCTAAACCTTTCCCACTTGAGCCACTTAGAACACTTCTCTTAGGTTCAAAATGATGCTTTGCTTAACTACTTTAAGCTCTTTTCATGATTTTGCTAAGTCTATTCAATCATTATTTATAATAGAGTTTAATCAACAATTTAACTCTTATATAAAGTGGGTGAAGAATAGCGTCATTTGATCAACTTTTGATCATAGAGATTTCCAATCACTTTCTTATATTCAATGATATTGAAGATAAGAGATTTTATTGGACTTTTATACTTGTCTTTTAGAGAGTTTGTACCTCCCATCTCATTGTATCCCTTGAAACACTTTTCAAAATGAAGATGTGTTGGCATTTTACTCAAACATTTTGAATAAAACCAACCTTAGTCATGTGACATGGATTTCTAAAACTTGCCTTTTAGAACCATCTTAGCAAAATTGGAATATAGGTTTATGAATAATCTTTTAAACTTTTGAGAACGTTTCTCAATTTTATTTTCAATCGAGGAGATTATATATAATAATAAAATTAGAACGACGTGTTACTTGTAAGTAAACGCAAAATTCAATTATGTTTAATAAAATTTAAAGTGCCATAAGCGAATTAAATTGGCAACTTTAAAGCATTTATTCAATTTTAATTGATCCCTATTGAATAATATGATTCCAAGATCCTTTATTTGTGCAATAATTGACCGGACTGAGGCCCTACCATCAAGTATTGCATTTTCAAGGTGAGTAAACTCTTTACTAATTACAACTCTTGTAATTCTTGGTTGAATAATTAACCATCACATGTTTAATTATTACCCTTAGCTTCAAGGTTCTAAATTCTTTAGGTAACCTTGTTGAGTAAAACCAATTAAAAGTGTAAAACGTGATTTACCCCCACTCCCCTAAGATATAGTATGACACCCAGCTGAGGCATGACCTGTCATAAATATCAAAGGTTTCATCGGGTTTTTAATTGGAAAAGCAACCTCAATATTACTGGGACCTAGATTTATTATGTTGTGATTAAATAGTGAACTCTAGCGCATCATCACAAAACATCAATAAAATCTAACATGCATAATAAAATGAATGCATAAACAAGACATAACATGGCCCCTAATCCTAAGAAACTAATAATGTAAAAAAATCCCACTTGAACCTTCATGGATCTCATCCACCTTGCTCCTTTGGGCCTTCACTTCATGGGCTTCTTGGATTAACTGCAACTTGTAATTTTACTCTATTCTATCTACTACTTAAATAAAATGAAATAAAATTACAAAAATACTTTATCGGTACGTAGACCGTACTAAGATTACAAAAATACATCACGATGCGCAGATCGTATTTAGTAATCTAATATAATGGGCCATACTAGTCATTATATAGCAATAAATAACATCATATATTATAAAATTGCCACATAATAAATCACTCATCATGCTTTCCTAAACTACAACATCGAATGTTCACAATTAAGGAAATATGGCACCAAAATATCTCATATTTTAATTAATGTAATTAGATAATATCATATATTATTCATGACCATCAATAAAATATCATATATTCTAAATTAGTCATGAGATAGATTCAAATCTTATTTTAATCTTAAAAGATAAATCATATTTATCCTCAAAGATTATCCTAACAAAGTTAGGAAATTCTATCCTAATTACTAGCCAATCACAAAATTTTAAATCAATTATTATCCAAAAAAAATTATGGGATAATCACATTATTTAAATCAATCTTTATCTTTTTGGAATATGCTCAAAATATTCTAACAAACTCTATCCAAAATTAACAATTTTAATTAAGGATAATTATCAAAAACAACTTTTGAAATTTGATTTTATCTCCAAAATAAAATCAGATTTTATCTTGAAAATAATTTTTAAAACAAAATAATTTAATAAAAAACAATTTATTTTTTTTTTTGAAAAATTGGGAAACACCGTGACTTGGCTTGCTGCCAGTCACGTCCCAACCACCGCAGCGGCCAGACCAGAGCCTGACCACCGCAGTACCCTACCGCAGCAGCCAGGCGTAGTGCCCAACCACCGCTGCTCCTGCCACAGCCAGGCCGAAGCCCACCCGCAGCCGCAGCCAGGCGCGCAACCAGGAAGAAAAGCCCAGCCACTTGCGTATGTTGGCTGCAGCAGGTGGCAGTGGAACAGTTCCACTACGCTGCTGCAACCAGTTCGCCGCCTGCGCCTTCCTTGCTGCACCCTTTTCGACCACCTGGGCAGCCGCCGCGGCCACCTGACGGTGGTTCATCCACCCAGCCACGGCTGCCCCTTCCCAAAATTGATTTTTTTTTTTGTTTTTGAGAGTTTAATTTAATTATACAACTTTTGCAAAATTAAATTAAATTAGGTCTATTGAATTAAAACATAACATTTATGCCTAATTCAATTTTGAAATCAAATTCACAATTCAATTTCAAATTTAGGGTTCTTCACAAATTAATTCAATTTTAATCTAACTCTTAAATTAAAATATATTCTATTTTTTCAACAGCAAAACACAAGAAACTAAGAAACAAAAGAAGAAAAATTAATTCTACAGTCATTAGCTATAACGTGGGCCTGAGCCACTTGGTCCCTACTAACCTTCCATATAACACAAGTCCTAATATTCGCAGCCATCATCTGGATGTCCCGGATAGTCCACAAAATACTGATATCCGCTGCCAGCTGATTACCTAGAGTTTTAACCAGGATATAGGAATCAGAGAACAAGAAAACCCTAGGGAACCCCTTTGAAACAACCCATCGCAAGGCCATTAAGCAGGCAAGAGCCTCCGCATGCAGAGCCAAAACTGCCTTGCAGAAGTGCCCTCCACTATCCTCGAAGATGTTACCATCTGAAGAAAAAGCCCACCCTAACCCTGCATTGCCATTGCTCTTCGTCCATGAACCATCAACAAGAACTGTCACCCCCTGCGTTGTAATTGGCGAATGGAGAATAATATAGTCCTCTATACCCACAGAAGAATGAAGAAACCCCGGTAGACGAGTATCCACAGGAGTCATCACATCATCTATTCTCTGAGGGCACCTACCCTTTTTCTCCCGGAATGTCCCCAGCTCCTGCATTGCTCTGTTCATATGATGGAGCCACACCTCCCCGTCACCATCTTCCCCTCTAAAGACCCGACCATTTCTAGTTATCCTTAAGCTCCATAGAGTCACTATCATTTTAATGATCCTATCGCTATGAATGTCATCCTCACTATAGAAGAGCAGGACATATGTCTGAATCCATTGTCGCATAGGAGTAGATTAAGCAAGATTCAAGTTGAAAATAATGGAACAATTATCCCACACATACCGTGCCACTGTACACTCTCTAAAAAGATGTTGGAAATCCTCTTCCACCTCTCCGCACAAGTCACACCCTAACTGCACTGGAATACCCCTATGATGGAGATTAGCCTTGACTGCCAAACCATTCAGAAATAACTTCCAGAGAAAAAGGCCCCACTTGAGGGGAATATTAAGACGCCACAGAATCCTCCACACCTCCTTATATCTGCTATGATAAGATTCCACATCTCTTAAGCTCTGAAGGAAAGCATATCCTGTCTTAGTCGTATATCTCCCTGATTTATGGTGCGGCCAGTAAAGTAGATCTTCATCCTGGTTACTAGACATTTCCATGCCCAAGATTTCCTTTGCACTTTCCCATTCAAACCTTTTCCTTATCAGGGGAATATTCCACCTCCTGGGATCATTGAGCAAAAACTCACTGACGACTCTTGCCCCCACCCCTCTTAATGGTTGGCTGGAGGCCATAATGGGCACCTTACCATTTACCCATTTCATATTCGCCAACTTGATCCTATCATCCGAACCCACTTTCCATGCAAAACCTTTAATTAGAGTGTTAGAAACAGAGAAAATACCCCTTCTTCCCCACGATGGAGAGAGGCCTAACTTTGATCCTTTACGACCAGTAGTAAGCGGACTCTCCTCCCTTTGGTATAGCACCCTAGAGGCCAGAAGTTGGGGATTGCAGTGCATTCTCTGAACTTGTCTGAAAAGCATAGCCTCATTTAGCGTGCCCATTGCTCTAATCCCCAGGCCCCCCATGCCTTTTGGAGATGCAGAATATCCTTCTTAACCCAATGCATCCATTTCTCCTTGTTCGAAGCCCAGAAGAATCTAGCAATGATGGAGTCGATCGCATTTGCTGTAGAGGCCGGTAATTTGAAACATTTCATCACATGGGAGGAGATACTTATGAGAACGGAGTTTATCAGGACAAGCTTAGCCGACTGTGAAAGCCTAAGCGAACTCTACTGTATAATTCTGTTTGCCACTTTATCCACCAAGAAACGAAAGTTATCCGCCCTTCTACTAGTGAAATCAATAGGGGATCCCAAATGAGTACCCAAATTATCCTTCTGGTCTATTTTCAGAATATCTTTGAAAATTTGCCTGTCCTGAGTTGACGTAGAAGGACTAAAGCGAATGAAAGATTTCTGAAGATTAAGCTGTTGGCCCGAGACCTTTTCAAACCTCCTTAGAAGATCAGCTAAATACCCACACGAAGAGGACGTGGCTTTAAAGAAAATCATCGCATCATCTGCAAAGAACAAATGAGAGATGGAAGGAGAACGCCTCGTAACTTTTATCCCCTTAATCAGGTCAATATCTTCCGCTAGGAGGAGCATCCTAGACAGAATATCCATGCAGAAAAGAAAAAGATACGGGGAAAGAGGATCCCCCTGACGAAGACCACATTCGGGCTTAAAAGATTCTGTGACCCTCCCGTTCACTAGAGACTTGTAAGAGACAGTAGTAATGCATTGTTCAACCCATCAAACCCACTTCTCAGGAAAACCATAAGCCTTGAGAATTTTGAGGATAAAAGCCCAGTTAACTCGGTCATAGGCCTTAGACATATCAATCTTCAAGGCGACCATAGGAGCCTTAATTCGCGTGCTAGAAATAACATGAGTCAACTCGTGGCTTAGAAGAATATTGTCTTCCATAGATCGACCCGGCACAAAAGCATGTTGGAATTCCGTAATCAAGGCCGGAAGAGAACCTTTCATCCTATTCACCATACATTTCGTGATGCACTTATAAATGGTGTTGCAAAGACTAATAGGATGAAAATGTGCTGCTACCTCCGGACTCTCAACTTTTGGAAGCATAACAAGGAGAGACGCATTAAACTCCTTCAGCATAAAACCAGTGTCAAAGAAATGTTGAACAACTGTTATAACCGAACTCCTAACTGAGTCCCAATGGACATGAAAAAATTCAGCAATGATACCATCCAGACCTGGAGATTTGAGATGATGAATAGAGAACATCGCCTTCCGAATCTCTTGGCCCCTAAAAGGTCTAACCAACGCCAAAGCTTCTGATTCTTCCAATTGAAGGAAAACCATTTCGCGGAATAAAAGGTCAATATCATCCTCCAACTGAATACCAGTCAAAAGGCTCGGAATAAAGAATTTTTTCAACGAACCTTGGATTAAATCGGCAATATCATCATGGCCACTAACCCACTCACCATCATCATTTTTGAGAGAAAGGATTTCCCTCCGTTTTTTCGTTGCTTAATCCTGTTAAATAAGGTTGTAGAAGACAAATCACCCTCTCTAACCCATTTATCTTTCAGTCGTTGCTGCCAGTAATGAAAGTCCAACCTACACTTAGGGATAATGTCATTTACCCCTTTTACATACTCTTCACCTTCCTCAATCGTCACAATTGCATCGCCTTGGTTACTTAAATTATTTGTGATGGACCGCCAGTTGGCACCCCAAAAAGTCCGATTATCCAGGCACCATTTTTTAGCACGGTTCCTGAATAAATTAAGATGTTTAGCTAAAACAAACATGCTAGATCCATTCATGGTGATATCCCAAATATCGTTAGTCATTCCTTTGATAGCATTATAGCGTAGACACCACCTTTCAATCTGATAAGGACGGTTGGACCGAGGCATAGAAGGATTCGAATCATAAATAATGGCTGCATAATCCAAAACTACTATTGGCTCATGAAAAATTCTTCCTTCCGGAAAATCCGCAAACCATTGATCCGTACAAAATGCTTTATCAAGCCGTTCTAAAATGAGACCATTATCCAAACGCTTGTTAGTCCAAGTAAACCGAGGCCCCGAGAAAGGAACTTCGATCACCCCATTGTCAAGCCGCCAATCAATGAAAGCATCCAAACCCTTTATTACTAAAGAGCCTCCTAGCTTGTCTTGTAAGCATTCAACTTGGTTAAAGTCACCAATCAAAAGACAATTAGGAGTTATCAAAAGGAGAGTAGTGAGTTCATCCCACACTCTAGTTCTATCTTCTACCTTAGGCTCTCCATAAACAAACATCACATTTCTATTACTTCCATTACCATCATCAAGGTTACACAAAATGTAGTTCGGAGTAGCCAAAACACAAGTAACAACCCCTTGGTACCAACTAAAAACCGCTAGACCCCCCTTAGTACCATCCGCATCCACTCCATAAGAAAAATTTGGAGAGAAAAAACTAAATACAAGTTTTACATCAACAAAAGGCATCTTAGTTTCGGATAAAAACAAGAACATAGGAAATTTAGTAGAGATAAGCCACACTAAATATGGATGTGTAGGGGCTAGTGTGTCATTGAGACCCCTACAATTCCAAGAGATGATCTTCATATATCCATTGAGGGCTGATCCGGTGAAGCCGCCTCACCAAAACACTCATCCATGGATTTCCAAATAGCTTGTTGAACCTCGATTTCCATGTCATCATCATCACATTGTTGCTTAGAGGACACTTCCTCTTCCTTCCTCTTTTTAGAAGGGCTTGAGAAAGAGGAGGAGGAATAACATTGCATGCGTTTTTTCCCTTTGCTTCTTTCTGCCTTGCAGAGCCGTGACTCACGCACCGTCACCCCCCATTGTCTAGCCATATCAACATCAGAAATTGCCTTTGACTTGAATTCGAAGCCCTCATTTTTATTCCTTTTCCATAAGATGAACCCACCCTTCTCAGACCACCTATCAAGAGTATTTCTCCTTTTCCTTGTAATCCAATCCGGCGTAAAAGAGCACTCTCGGACTGAGCCATCTTCACAAGACCGAGCTTCATAGTGAATTTCTTCTCGGACCCTTTTCCGCGGCCACAATTGCACATAATCAAGACCACTAGCACCACCATAACCACCCCTATAATTCGGGTGTGAGACCGGGGAATTCGGAGGATCAAACTCCGTCACTGGCATCATAGGGAAAACGGCTCATAAAAAGGGGAAGTTGTAAGCGTCGTTTGAAGTGCGCCCACGTAAAAGCATGTTTGAATATGCTTGGCACTCATAGGAAGTGGTAATTGACATATGATAAGGGACAACGATTAGGGACAAGGAAAGTAGGGAGCCGCCAACAAGTTTTTAAGGAACTTGTAAACCGTTCACGGATCATAAAAGGCAACCACGAAAAGGGACAACGAAAGGCAACAACAATTGACCCGTGAAGGTTACAACCCATTCATAATCCATGAGATTACTAACTCCATATGGTTCGGAACCACGAAAAGAGGATCGAGGATGATGGTACGAAGTGAGTCATGGAGTCACATTCGCCCGTATTGGCCTCTACTCGATTCTTATTGTGAAAAGCATTCCTGCGATCTCAAAGGCATACAAACAAAATATTCAATTTGCTCCAAACTATTATTATGCTAAATTGGTTGAATATTAATGCAACACATAATTCTAAAATATTGTGATCACTTGATTTAATAACAAGATTAAAAAGGAACCTAAGCCGGTTGTCCAAATTATCTTATTAGGCGTGATTTTCAATTACATATTCCCTTTAACATGCAATATGGTGATCATAAAAAATATAATAGAATAAACATTAATATTGGAAGCAATTTAACAATAAATTGTTAGTCAAATCAAATAATAATAATACCCCTAATCATGATACTAGCAATAAGAATAAAAATAAGAGTAATTAAGTGATTAATTTAATTACTCACATTCCGCGTTTCCTTGAATTGCTACATCATGAATAAACTGTTAGTAACTTTAATAAAAATATAAATCAAATAGAAATTAAATTAAATTAAAAGTAGCGTTGATTTGGTCCAAACCCTCAGCTATTTATACCTTTCACGCCTTGGTTACAGTATAGAACTTTGGGTATTGTATGAACTCCTTGTAGTGCTTAAGGAAGAAATGATAGAATTAGAAATATAGGTTTAAGGCTTAGAATATGGGAGAGAGAGAAGAGAATGATTTTTGGTGTAAAAGAGAGAAAGAGAGAAGGATTTGATGATCAAGATTGTTGATGAATCAAAAAGGGGAGATATGACCTCTATTTATAAGGGGAAAAGAGGAGTCGAATCAAGAAAAGATAAGAATTCGAATCGGATAAAACTCTTGCGATAGACAGCAGTTTTTGTGGTTTTTGTTTTTATCATATCTTTTGAACCAGAAATTGGAATAAGATGAATAAGATATGGTTGGAAAGCTCTTGAAGTTTAATTTTTAACCCAATTAGAATCAGGTTAAAATATTGTGTATAACAAAAGATATAGCCAAAATAGTGAGACGGTGTCAGTTTTGGATAGAGTTTGACATTTTATTCATATCTTTTCCGTTATTGCTCGGAATTGATATTATAATATATCATTCGAAAGATAATTTCATGGGCTATCCAACCATATAAAATTTGGATAAAAACTATGAGGTACAAAAATAATATCTGTCTATCTTTGAACGTCTTTCAATTCGGATATAAATAGGATTTTCAAAAAGAAAAGTTTTATTCAATTTCAAACTCTTTAATCTTATCTTTTCAAAAAGGATAATTAAGATCTTTTAGAAACTTATAGAGGCTTCTAATTAATCCTAATTAGTTTAGGAATTGGATTAAATAATTTGGACCCTCTACATGATCATTGGGTCGTAGGTAAAGTGGGTTTAGGTTCGGTTTGGGCTCAGTTTAATATTTTGGCCATAACTTATTCGTTATAACTCGGATTTGGGCTTTTAATATATCTTTGGAAAGATCTTTTAAAGCCCCATCCAAATAGTCAATCACTAGACCCAAATTATGGCCCAAAATAAACTGGAATAAACGTTTTTATAAAAAGTCGACAGATGATGAGATTGCAAGTCTCTGTGTATCGAGAACCTTGCGCCGTGAAATGATGGTGGTTCGATTGTCCCCGAATGTGGGCTGTAGATGGTCCTCTTATCCCCGGACGTGGGCTGTAGATGGTCCGCTTGTCCCCGGACGTAGGCTATAGTTGGTTCGCTTGTCCCCGAACGTGGGTTGTAAATGGTTTGCTTGTCCCCGAACGTGGGCTATAGATGGTCCGCTTGTCCCTGGACGTGGGCTGTAGATGGTCCGCTTGTCCCCGGACGTGGGTTGTAGATGGTCCGCTTGTCCCCGAACGTGGGCTGTAGATGGTCTGCTTATCCTCGGACGTGCGCTGTACATGGTCCGCTTGTCCCCGGACGTGGGTTGTAGTTGGTTCGCTTGTCCCCGAACGTGGGCTGTAGATGAGACCTGCAAAAATAAATTTGCCAATGGACTCGTATATATTGTGATTGACTTGACCACTGACTTGACCACGTTTGACTTGATGTGACATGACATGTGTATGACTTGTGAGTGTGTGTGTGTGTGTGTGTGTGTGTATATGTGTGTGTGCAGACACAAGCAAATTAAACGAAGATGCAAAAGCAAAAATTTTCCGTCAATTTTTGTCATGAGACGAGTGGAGGGTACCGATTTTCTCCTGAAAAAGAAATACGTGAAAAATGAAATTTTATATTCAAACTTCCCTCGATAAAAATTTTGAAATTTTTCTTAAACTTCCCTAAAAGAAAACAATAAAAAAAAAAGGAAGAAGTTTTGAACTTCCTCCTTGAGCAAGACGAAATGAATCGTATGGATTGAATTGATTGTCTTGGAAATAATGTATGCATGATGCATGTTCTTAGGCCAGGAGGCTAAGGACAATTACATCATGTGACACGATAGATGAATGAACTAGGTCATGGAGATAAGCATCATATATGGCGTAAAGAAATGATCTTGAACGTCACTTAGGTCTGGAAGCTAAGCACGTATATAGAAGAAGTGGTTGATGAGTATTGCATAATGAATGTTTCTTAGGTCAAGGATCTAAGCACGATATGCGATGCATGAAACAATGAATTTTGCTCAGGTCAGGAAGCTAAGCAAGTATACAATGTTTCTTCTAATGAATGTTGTCTTGAAAGATGATGAAGCATGCACAGTGTTAAAACAAGATTTCATGAAAAAGGGTTCTTAAAGGGGAGGATGATTGATATGGATATGGATGTGTGAGTGAAGTGTGTGAATGTGATACTAAGGCTAGCTGCAAAGGCTATGGTGATGGAAATTTATGTGAGAAGAGTCAAAATAGTGACTCTTTAGGCTGGGTAGGCTAAATGATGTGGGTTTAAGCCCCCAAGTCTAGCTCTAAATGGGTAGGGGTAAGCATTGATATTCTTTGACTCGATCATGCATAGATATGAATATTGAATGTGGTCGCACCTCAATGTGAGGTTGCCTACGTATCCGTTAAGAATCAGGCCAACGTAGCTCTAACCGAACTTTGCACAAGTGTATGTACACCTCAAAGAGGTCTTTCAAGGGTTGTAATATGGTTAAGTTGATGGTTTAAAGAAGAAAAGGGTACAAGGCTCCATACCCGAGAAAATCCCCAAGATATGCAATTGTGAATTGGACTTTGCAAGTTTTATTTTCAACATTTTTTTGTTTTGAATTTTTTTCTTTCTTTTTTTTTATTCTTTTAAATCAATGTAGGAAATCTCAGATCATGCGGTCCATCACTCACTTAGCATTCATGTTTCTCAGGCACGGTACCAAGCACTCGATGAGAGACGCAATTTGAGACATGTTCATATCAAAGACATTGGAACACTTGCCTTTAGACATTGTTTTATTGTTATTTTGCTGCTTTTTTTTTTTACTTGCTTTTTGAATGTTACACAAATTGCACATCTTCCAATTCCAGGGTTGAGTGAATGTGGGTTGAAAAAATGAAGGCCAAACGTTAGACGAGGCTCAAATTGGTTGACGAAGAAATGGATATGTGATTAAATGGTTAATAGGGAATGACAGGGTTGCAAAGGTGCCTCAAGTCATTGGTGTACCTTATGTTTAGTTCGCCAATTGATGATTTTTTTTATTTTTTTTATTTTTATCACATGATCGAATGTAAGAAAGAGATGCTCATTTATGAAGAAGGTAAGAAATGTGACATATAGACACATGGGTAAGGAGAACCTATGCTAGACTTTTTAGGGGGAAGGGTTTGAAACAAAAGAAGAAGAAAACATGAAATCTTGGTGAGAAGCATGCATCGTGCATTGTATTCATGGCTGTTTATGAGTAACTTCTTGCCGCCTGGTGAAAAAAAAAAAGTTTCTTGTTGTTGATGCTTTGATTGGAAGGAGAGAAGGAAGGAGTGACGTTCCCCTTATTCTTCCAACTATTGCCTAGTGATTTTAGTCTCAAGTACTTTG